CCTAAACATTTCTCTGTCTGTTCCTAAACATCTTCGCTGTTTTCTGACTTGTAGTAACCTCTTACGTCACTAAAACCACACCCCTGTTGGTTCTTTCAACCAATCAGGACTTCCCAAAAGGGACCGGAAGCAGAACTCTTTAAAAGTCGACACTTCCTAGTTCCAGTTAGTTCTGGGGGAAGAACAGGAGTTCTGAGAGCAGAACCGAACAAGAGTTCTGAGGGATGAACCGAAGTTCTGGAGAGAACAGAAGTTCCATGGAGAAGGAAGACAGTGTGACTTTGCAAGGGTGAAGTCCACGGTGGTCATTTTCTGAAATATGACACCTGTCTGGAGTGTTGATTCTGGTCATTACGCCAAAGACCTATTCAACATCTCAGGAGTTCAGCACGTTTGCTGAAATTCCACTTAACTTAATCCTATCTTTCGGGGAAGTTTATTTTGGAAGCTGGGCCAGTCAGCCTCGTCATCCCAAGTTGATGAGAAGCAGATAAATCCCTGGAGGTAAAAAGACTCAGCCTTGCTGGATGCCAGGAGAAGACCTCTCTGAAACCCCACCAAGGTAGAAAGTCAACGCTCGGGTACCATCTAGCTGAAATCACCGGGAAACGTGCTATCTGGTTTCAAACAAGATAACTCCCCATCTTTTCTTTATTATCTTAGTTAAGCCTAAGTATCCACTTTCCCTTCTTAAACTTTACTCCATCTCTATATTTCTCTGCCAGTAAAAGATAAGCTAAGCCTGCAGACATTAATTTAAGATCTAAAGAAATGTCTGTTGTTTTTATTAAGTAAAACGTGCCAAATTTTATTAATCAGAGCCGATCGGAATAATCAAGTGTACAATGTTTTGATGTTAAATTTTGATTCTGTTAATAAATGACCACATTCATTTTGATGGGTCAAAGAAAATTAACGTCTCATGTCACTGATTAGACCATCTCCCACACAGTATCTCTGTCACATATCTGTCAAGTAGCTCGAAAAAGAGAGAACCCGTTATTAAATATTGATTGTAGTAAAGCTAACTGAAGCTAACCGACCCTAGCTCACTACACTATCTTGAAGACGAGGGTGAGGTTCTGCCTCAAGTGGAGGAGTTCAAGTATTTCCCGACTTTGTTCACAAGTGAGGGAAGAATGGAATGTGAGATTGACAAATGGATTGCTGCAGTGTCTGCAGTATTGCGGACTCTATACCGGTCCATTGTGGTGAAGAGGGCGCTGAGCTGTAAGGCAAAGCTCTCTGCTTGCTGATCAGTTTACGTTCCTACCCTCACCTATGGTCACGAGCCCAGGGTTGTGACTGAAAGAATGAGATCACGGATACAGACAGTTGAAATGAGTTTCCTCCTCAGGGTAGCTGGACTCTCCCTTAGAGATAGGACAAGAAGTTCAGTTATTCGGGAGAGACACAAAGTAGAACCATTGCTCCTCCACATCGAGAGGAGCTAGTTGAGGTGGTTCAGGCATCTGTTAAGGATGCTTCCTGGGCGCCTCCCTAGCGAGGTGCTTTGGGCATGTCCATCTGGGAGGAGACCCTGGGGAAGACCCAGGACATGCTAGAGAGACTACGTCTATTGGTTGGCCTGAGATTGCCTTGTGATCCTCCCAGAAGAGCTGGAAGAAGTGGCTGTGGAAAGAGATTTCTAGACCGCCCTGTTTAAGCTGCTGCCCCCACGACCCGACTTCGGAATAAGCAGAATTTAATGGATGGATGGATAGATGGGTACTTGGGAGACACCACTAGCTGGAGCCAAATCCCTTTAATGTGTTACCCATTTGGCTAATAATTATGTTGCAGATTGTTTTATTTGTGAACCAACGTTTGTAAAATAAAAAATAAAAATGCTGGAATTTGAGAATCTGTTTATACAGGACAACTAGCATCAGATGGATTTTATTGAAACTCTCTAAATGTTTTCATCTTTATTTAATAGAGACAACTCACTTCAAAATAGTTGACATAGCTATTCAAGCTTAGCAACCCCAGAAATGGCTGTACTTTATTCATTTTTACGCACAGAGAGATACAATTTGGTGTGTTTTAGCTGAGTCATCCCCAGCACATACTCTAAGTGCTAAAATATTGAGTGAAATTAAACTTTGTTGTGCATAAATGTGGGTGTAAATTATACTTTAATAACTCTGTACTTAAAGAAAAAAAGTCCATAGTGTATATTTGGGTCAAAATAATATTTTTTGTTGTTGTTGTTGTTGTGTTTTGTTTTCTCTTTTCTGTGAAGAATTCAGCTATAGTGGTCTAAAATAAATGTTTTTTTAATATTCATATCCAGTTTTTATGCTTCCCAAATACATTTGTATTTGGTGAATGACTCCTTTTAATGATCTCATGGCTGAATCCCTTTTAAGAACATAGCTTAACAAAATCTGTGTACTCAAGTTTATTATTTTCTTCCTATCTACCATTAAACTCTCCCGGTGCCTCTAATCCAGTACAAACACATTAATAAACCACACCGTTACTCGGAGATTGCCTCATTATCACAAACTCAAACACTGCAGTTTGTTTTGACTCACTACACTACAGCAACCTGCTGATCCAAATTCTTGAATGCATTAACATCCTGCTAATTGTCAGAGTCATGAGCTATTTTCTGTTATTTAAGTAATGCTGGATGAAAACTACAGTCACTGGCCAGTTCAAATTTCAGCTTTTGTAAGCCATAAATTATTAGAGCCTAGCAACCATTGCAGACAGAAAATATTGAAAGACTAATTATTACATTGCTGATTTTATCCCAGTCACAAATTTTGCGTATTGTAAGATAAAGAAAAAAAAAAAGACTCTTAAATCTCTAGATTTAATACAATCCTTGTTACCAGGTTATAAAATTTGGCAAATAAATATCAAACAAACACTCAAGCTTTTGTGCCATTATTATTTTTTGTTTGTTTATTTTTACCAGCACAGTTCCAAAATGCACAAGGGGGAATTAAAATATGTGTCCCACTGATTAATTTGTTTGGAGAACTGTTTTATCTGCAATAACTTGTAGTAATCATCTTATGTATAAAGTTATCAGTCTCACATTGTTGTCAAGAAAGTCTTCCCCAGTAATTTATTTACAGTGATGCTTTAGTTCAGTCAGGTTAGCGGGCCTTTGCTTAGATATAGGGCTCTGTGGTTCTTTCACAGAGTGTGCAAATAGGGAATAAATCTACCCAATGTCCGCTGGAAAGATGACCTCACATTTGACACTATAGTATGCAGGGTAGTTCATGACTAACTTAAACTCACTGTTTACTGTGTACCAGTTGTACATTCAACAGCTTTTCTTCTGTTGCTTATTGTTCTAAAGTCCTGTTCAATAATTAACAATTCTCTTTTTAACAGCAATACTTAGAACATTTTCAAGCTCCTGCAGTAATTCATATTGCACCATATTATTACATGTCAATATTTTACTTTATATATGTACTGTATATATGAAATCTGAAGTGATTTTTTTAGGGATAACATATTTTGCTTGTGCTCCCACTTTGAATGAATATACCATAGAAGGTGTAATTGTCCAGTCAAATTGTCCAGTCAAATTGTGCCAATCGCGTTTACTGGAAAATTAAATTCCCTACATTTCCTTTGTGGCACATGATTTCATCATACTAGAAGAGAACTGTTTAACTTTAGATGCCTCTTGGAAGTACACCTCTACAATACTCTCTATCTAAGACCAGTGGGTTAAAATCATTAACAAAAAAATCTTCTGTATACCTAAATCTCTCCAGAAATGCACTGTGCACACATCTCAGCTTTCATTGACTTCTACTGTATCTCAGATCTCTTTCAATCTGGATGTGAATGGTATTCATAACGTATCTTCAACATAAACTACTGTATGTAGACATAAAAACTGACATGCCAAGATGCTTCTGTCACTTATGGGTTAGCAGTATTTTCAAAACAACTTAAAGCTTTTGCACAGTGACTGAGGTTTAATGTATACTCTGTGTTTTTGTGTGTCTTTCTTAATAAAGGTGCACTGGCAAGTGAGAGACGGGTGTGTAGTTACCTTGGTTACCCTAATGAGCCACTGTTATGTGTATGAGGTACATAATTGTTATTATTTGTCCTTTGGACATATTTTGGGTTTTGGGTTGGCTAATTGACCCTTGCTTGTTGTGCTGTGATGTGTTCCGCCTGCCCATAAATAGGCTGAATCCAGGGAGCTCTCTCTCTTTTTGAGCTCTGCTTTCTGGCTGCCTTTGTTTATTTTTTATTGGGGGGTGGGCTCTGTTTTCCTCTCGCTCATCCTGTCCAGGATGAGTCTCAGTGATGTGGGCTGCAACAGCCATCCTCGGGTAGTTACCAGGTAGTTTTTATTAATTTTTTCTCTATTTTTTATTATCTAGGTAATTTTGGCCTGGTGGGACCAGTTATCCTGTTTTCGCTTTTTCTTTTGCAATAGATGTTTTTGTAGGTATTTTTTTCTAGTTTTAGCAGCGGTTTTGATGGCCAGGCATGGGGTTGGCCCACTGCAGTAACTTTTGTTCTGTTTAACCGGTTCACCAGTCCACCTTTAAATTAATAGTCTACTTTGGATTTTTGTGTGTCTTTTTTTTTGGTGGACACAGGAAATGGGGGTTCATCTTCATCGTTGTTGTTTTTTTTTTGTTTGTTTGTTTGTTTTTTTAAGGAAGCAGCAGTTTTTAATAAATTGAATATTTGAACTCTCATGTTTGCGTCACTTGTCCTCCTTTGAATGTTGTGTTTTTGGTGGACGTAACAGCCACTGACAGCAGCTTTAATTTTTCTTTCAATCTTGGTTTTATTTACACACTTTTTAAAGGAATTTTGTCATTTTGGAATATTGCACAAATGTTCCAAATTAAATCTTTTGACTATGTTACCATAGTAAGAGCTTCAGTTTTTCACAAATTTGACTCTTGGGTGCACAAGTTTAGAAACACTTCACAAATTAAAACAGAAAAATAATCTCACTGGTTGACCCTCTACAAATAAAAACTGAAAATATTTACCTGGTCAGTGCTGGGGCTGTCTGAAATATCATTCATGCTTCGACTCTGAGCAGCATCTGTAGATAAAGCACACACTTGTTTCTGGAATCAGAGAAACATTATCTAGGTTTACCATAATCACAATTAAAAGAATAAAGAGTTCAATATCTTGTTTACTTTCAAGGAATAAATATTTTCTTTAAATGTCTTGGGAGTAATGCAGAAGTTTGTCTTTAACCAGAAGTAAATTTTCTTCAAAAATATTTGGTATCAAATATAACAGAAAGCTTCCACCTTGAATTGCGACCTCATCATGGTGGAGGAGTTTGTATGCCTGAATGATCCTAGGAGCTATGCTGTCTGAGACTATTGTAAATGCCTCTGATAGGGTCTCCCAAGGCTGAATGGTCCTAGGTGACAGGCCAGACAAAGAGCAATTCAGAAGAGTTTTATGGACAAAATAATACAAGTAACTCAGTGTCTGTTGCCCGTACATAGGTTACCAGGGCCCCACACTGGAGACAGGCCTGCGGGAGGGGCTCATCAGCGAGCACCTGGTGACTGGGTCTCTACCCATGGGCTAGCTTCCTTGGGGCTCAGCCTGAAGGAACAACATGGGTTTGCCTTCCTGTGGACCCACCACCTGCAGAAGGGGCCATATGAATTGCGTGCATGACGCCATGGGCAATGGCCAAAGGCAGGGGCCTTGGCACTCTGACCCTGATGGGGCGGCTGTGGCTGAGTGGTTAGAGCAGTCGTCCTCCAATGCGAGAGTTGGGGGTTCGAATCCACCAGCAATCACATGTCGAAGTGTCCCTGGGCAAGACACATACACTGAACCCCTCAAAGCCTCTGATGTGTGTTCAATCAGTGTATGAATGTGATCTAAAAGCACTGATTAGTCTCATTAGAATGATTTGTTCAATTAGCTTTGTAGAGATCTAGTAGAGTGCTGTATGAATGGGTAAATGAGGACACAGATTGTTGTAAAGCGCTTTGAGTATCTTGAAATAAGATAGAAAGGCGCTATATAAGTACAGTCCATTTACCATTTACCCAAAGCTGGACCTTGGGACATGGAACATAACCTCTCTGGCAGGAAAAGAGCCTGAGCTTATGCATGAGGTTGAGAGGTCCCAACTAGATACAGTTGGGCTCATCTTGATGCACAGCATGGACTCCAGAATCAATGTCCTTGAGAGGGGCTGTGGGTCTACTTTTAGCCCCCTGACTTGGTGCCTGTGTGTTGGAGTTTTCCACAGTGAATGAAAGAGTGGCTTCCCTGTGCCTTCGGATGGGGGGACAGGCTCTGACTGTTGTTTATGCCTACGCGCTGAACAGTAGTTTGGAGTATTCAGACTTCTTGGAGGCCTTGGAATGGGTGCTGGAAGGTGTGCCAGTTGGAGAGTCCATTATTCTGCTGGGGGACTTCAATGACCATGTGGGTAAAGACAGTGTGACCTGGAGGGGTATGACTGGGAGGAACAGTCTCTCTGATCTGAACCTGAGCTGTGTTCTGTTGTTGGGCTTATGTGCTAGTCATAGTTTGTCCATCACAAACACCATGCTTGAACATAAGGGTGTCCATAAGTGCACTTGGCACCAGGATGCCCTAGGTCGTAGATCGATAATTGACTCTGTAGTTGTGTCATCTGATTTGCGGCTCTTTGTTTTAGACACTCATGTGAAGAGAGGAGCTGAGCTGTCAACTGATCACAACATGGTAGTAAGTTGGATCAGATGATTTGTCAGAAACTCCAGAAGACTCAGGTGGAGGCTTCAACAATCACCTGGATCAAAGACTACCTGACAAACAGACCACAGTTTGTGAGACTGAATGGTTGTGTGTCTAACCATGTGGTCAGTAGCTCACGAGCACCACAGGGGACTGTAATCTCACCATTCCTTTTCACTCGGTACACCTCAGATTTCCAGTATAAAACAGACTCCTGTCATCTGCAGAAATATTCTGATGACTCTGCAGTGGTCGGGTGTATCAGAGATGGACAAGAAGTTGAGTACAGGGAAAATTTCGACATGTGACAGCTGGTAGATTCAAACACCAAACTCTTCCATTGGAGGATGACTGCTCTAACCACTCAGCCACAGCCGCCCTGACACGCCTTTGCAATATCGCGTGAACAACCGGGGCAGTGCCACCAAATTGGCAGGCTGGGGTGGTTGTTCCCCTCTTAACAAAGGGAGATCAGAGGGTGTGCTCCAATTATAGGGACATAACTCTCCTTAGCCTCCCTGGTAAGGTCTACTCAAGGGTACTAGAGAAGCGAGGCAGGTCGTTGGTCAAACGTCAGATCCAGGAGGAACAATGGCCAACATCCTGGCCATGGAACACTGGATCAGCTCTTTACCTGCATTAGGGTCCTCGAGGTGTCATGGGAGTTTGCCCATCCAGTCTACATAGGTTTTGTGGACTTGGAAAGACTTTTACTGTGTTCTTCAAGGTACACTGTGGAGGGAGCTCCATTCAATTCAATTCAATTTCAATTCAGTTTATTTATATAGCGCCAAATCACAACAAAGTTGTCTCAGGGCACTTTACAGAAACATTCACATACATAAAAGCCAATTAGTAAAACTCTGTATCTAAGGAATCCAGCAGACAAGTTGAATCTTGGCTTCTTCCACGAGTATGAGATTGGGGGCCTGGTGCTATGGGCTGTCCAGTCCCTATATAAGCGTTGCAAGAGTTTGGCTTGCATTACCGGTAGTAAGTCGGACCACTTCAGGGTGGGAGTTGGACTCCGCCAGTGCTGCCCATTGTCACCATTTCTGTTCATAACTTTTATTGACAGAATTTCTTGGTGCAGCCAGGGATGGAGGAATTCTGGTTGGGTGGCTTCAGGATTCCATCTCTGCTCTTTGCAGATGATGTAGTCCTGTTGGTGTCATCGCTGTGCTCTCCAGCTCCTACTGGAGTCGTTTGCAGCTGAGTGTGTAGTGCACAGGTGTCAAACTCCAGGCCTCGAGGGCCAGAGTCCTGCAACTTTTAGTTGTGTCTCTGATGCCACACAGCTGAATCAAATAAGAAGGTCATAAGCAGGACTTTGGAGAACTTGACTGCACTGAGAAGCTAATTCAGGCATATGGTTCAGCTGTGTGGCATCAGAGACACATCTGAAAGTTGCAGGACTCCGGCAGCATCTCCAAATCTGAGGCCATGGTCCTTATTTGGCAAAGGGTGGATTGCTCTCTTTGGGTCAAGGGTGAGGTTCTGCCTCATGTGGAGAAGTTCAAGTATCTCGGGGCTTTGTTCATGAGTGAGGAAAGAATGGAATGTGAGATTGACAGACGGATTGTTGCAGTGTCTACAGTATTGCAGACCCTGTACCAATCTGTTCTGGTGAAGCGGGAGCTGAAGACAAAACTTTCTGTTTACCGGTTGGTCTATGTTACTACCCTCACATATGGTCACGAACTCTGGGTAGTGACCGAAAGAATGTGATCACGGATACAGGTGGTTGAAATGAGTTCCTCCGCAGGGTAGCTGACTCTCCATAAGAGATAGAGTGAGAAGTTCATTTATCTGGGAGAGACTTGGAGTAGAACAGCTGCTCCTTCACATTGAAAGGAGCCAGTTGAGATGGTTCGGGCATCTGGTAAGGATGCTTCCTGGGCGCCTCCCTTGGGAGGTGCTCCAGCATGTTCAACTGGGAGGAGATCCCAGGGAAGACCCAGGACATGCTGGAGAGACTACGTGTCTCAGTTGGCCTGGGAACACCTTGGGATCCCT